TTTCCAATACTAACATGGAAATTTTCCATCCCACCAACTTCTCAATTCAAATCAATTGGGTTTGATGTTGTATTGATGTTGTACCTATTACTCTCAATACTGAACATGGCATTAAAACAACATAGCAAAACAGGCAAGCAAACTTAGTTCAAACAATGACAACAGATTCTAAGTTTTAAGAGCTCATATTCAGAATACTAATTTTAAACCCAATAAACTGATCCCAAATCGCATTGAACACTGAATGTAGTCAATAAAATCCTAGAATTAAACCCAACTCATAATATTCAGCAATCGAACTCCACTCAGTTATCAATTCCAACTCCAATTAAACAAAATTCCAATTATCAACAAGCAAGAAAAGTAATTAAGTTTAATTTCAATTTAACCTTTTTCAAAACTATATACACTTCCCCTACAGCAAGTATTGCAAAACCCAATAAAAACTTCCGAAACAACAAAACCCATAACTCATAATGTGCTCATATAGCTTCAGCCAACAATCTATAGTAAAGCTAAGTTCTTCCCTAATTCAAATTCAGCAACAATTGATTAACTAAAAAAAAAAAAAAAAAAAAAACCAATTGAAATCACATGACAATGCAGTAAATTTGAGAGAAATCAATGACAATGCAGTAAATTTGAGCACAGACACTATCTTAAATCACAATTTCTATTCTAATAGGAAGTAAATTAATACTTGTTGCTGAAGTTGGCACGGAGAGGAATCAGATGAGGAAGGAAGACGCTGCTGTGGGGTTTTGCGTCGCGCTGTAGAGTAACGTAGGGTTGGGCTAAGGATGAAAAGAAAGTGTGTTTGGGTTTTAGCTTTGCGATCGGAGTGATGGAATGGGTTGCAAGAGTTGCATCGTTGGCGCTCTTTGGACGAAATCTGCGCTGGCTGAGAGTCTTGAACGACGGCAGGAGTTCTGAAATTGTGAGCTGCGGATGGCAAGAGTATTGAAAGGAAGGAGCTGCGGACGGCGGTTGATCGGACGGTGGCAAGGAAGTTGTGAGCTGCAATTTCCGTCGGGTTCTCTTAGGTCAATTCTCTCTTTTTTTTTTTTCTTTCATTTTCTTTATAGTTGCCGCACAAATATAACTAGTTTTTAATTTTTTTTTGCCCAGTATAATAACAAAGTAGCTGAATAAAAAAAAAAAAAAACTAAATCAAATATACCTTCCTTGCTAAACAAATAAACTCTCTATCCTCACCCAAACGACACATAAAATAGAAATAAAACAACTTTTACCATGCCATTTAAAAAAAACCCCATAGGAAGCTCTGGCTCTAGACTCTTGAACCCAGAAAAAAACACAGGTGTCCCCAGGTTAAGGACGACACTGTTCATGCAAAATTTTTTTTTTTTCAAAAAAAAAAATAAAGAAAAAAAATGAAATTCAAAGAGAAAAAAAAAAGAAAAAATAAAATAAAAATAAAATTATAAATGAAGCAGAAACTAAAATGCTGGGTTGCGTCCCAGTAAGCGCTTTGATTTTCACGTCTCCGCGCCTAGACGTTCTTGAGCTAATTCAGTTTCTCCCCCGGCTCTTCGAGCCTCAATTCTCCAATTGAAATAGCTCCAAAACCTTCATAAAATAGCATTCAATTCGATGACCCAATTCACCGTAAAAAATTTTATTTGGTCTCTAGACTTTTGAATTTCCAACTGCAATATTGGTCTCTAGACTTTGAATTTCCACTGCACCATGAGCAAAAACATTAGTAACAACAAATGGACCAGTCCATCTGGACCTTAACTTACCAGGAAATAATTTGAGTTTAGAATGAAATAATAGAACTTTTTGACCAACTACAAAGCTCTTCCTAGATATCATGCCATCATGGAAAGCCTTAGTCTTCTCTTTGTATATTCTGGAGCTTTCATAAGCTTCATTGCGAATTTCCTCAAGCTCATGCAATTGTAATTTTCGATTAGCACCAGCTTCACCGTACTGCATATTACAGTGCTGAATAGCCCAAAATGCACGGTGCTCAAACTCGACAGGCAAATGACACGGTTTGCCATAAACTAAGCGATAAGGTGACATTCCTATCGGTGTCTTATACGCTGTCCTATAAGCCCATAAAGCGTCGTCCAGCCTGATGCCCCAATCTTTTCTATTAGGACTCATAGTTTTTTCCAGTATGGACTTCACTTCCCTATTCGAAACTTCTGCTTGTCCACTTGTCTGCGGGTGGTAGGCTGTAGAGACACGATGCGTAATACCATACTTCTTGAACAAATTCTCTATAATCTTGTTACAGAAATGAGTTCCTCGATCACTTATAATTGCTCTTGGAATTCCAAACCGAGAAAAGATATGGCTCTTGACAAAAATCACTATCGTCTTCGCATCATCAGTCCGAGTTGCCTTAGCTTCAACCCATTTGGACACGTAGTCCATTGCCAATAATATGTAGCTGTTCCCGAATGATGATGGGAATGGCCCCATAAAATCTATACCCCACACATAAAAAATCTCACAAATAAGAATAGAGGTTAGGGGCATCTGATCTCTATGACTCAAATTACCTGACTTCTGGCAATTTTCTCAAAATTTGCAATAAATGTACGAGTCTTTAAACATTGATGGCCAGAAAAGTCCACACTCCAGAATCTTGCGAGCCGTTCGTTGAGGACCAAAATGACCTCCACAAGCTGATGAATGGCAGAATTTCAGAATGGATGGCACTTCCACATCCATTACACATCTTCTAATCACCTAGTCAGAACAAAACTTCCACAAGTATGGATCATCCCAAAATGGGATCATCCCAAACAAAAACTACTTAGCTCTCTCTTGATTTTTATCTTTTTTATCTTTTGCAGCTCTAGTTAAATTTTCCAGTAAAGTACCTGCAACTAAATAATTCACTATATCAGCATACCATGGAACAACTTTTTGGAAGCTAAAGAGTTGCTCATCCGGAAAATCATAGTCTAATGGTGACGGCATTTCATTCAAAATCAACCGGCTAAAGTGATCAGCAACAAGATTCTCGGACCCCTTTTTATCTCTTATCTCTATATCAAATTCTTGAAGCAAAAGAATCCAACGAATCAAACGGGGCTTGGAATCCTTCTTCTTTAACAAAGACCTCAATGCTACATGGTCAGAAAAAACTATCACCTTTGTTCCTAACAAATAGGACCTGAACTTCTCCAAAGCAAACACGATCGCCAAAAGCTCTTTCTCTGTGGTAGAGTAGTTGCATTGGGCATTGTCCAGCGTTCTTGATGCATAGCGTTCTTGATGCATAATATATGACATGAGGATTCTTCTCAATACCCTGTCCAAGAACAGCCCCTACAGCATAGTTACTTGCATCGCACATAATCTCGAAAGGATAGTTCCAATTCGGTGGTTGGACTATTGGAGCAGAAATGAGCTTCTTTTTCAACATATCAAACGCTTTTCTACTCTCCTCATCGAACACAAAAGGCACATCTTTTTGCAAAAGCTTGCAAAGCGGTTGAGCTATCTTCGAAAAATCCTTAATAAAGCGTCTATAGAAACCTGCATGGCCAAGGAAAGAACGAATCTCCTGCACACTTGCAGGGTAAGGTAAGGATTTAATTACATCAATTTTAGCTTTGTCAACCTCAATGCCTCTTGATGAAACAATGTGTCCTAGAATCAAACCTTAGTCTACCATAAAATGGCATTTTTATAATTTAGCACTAGGTTTGATTCTATACACCTCTTTAAGACTTTTGTAAGGTTAGTTAAGCATTCATCAAAACAATTACCATAGACGGTAAAATCATCCATAAATACCTCAATAATCTCCTCTACAAAATCTGAAAATATACTAACCATACACCTTTGGAATGTGGCTAGTGCATTGCAAAGACCGAACGGCATCCGTTGATAAGCAAATGTACCAAAAGGGCAAGTGAAAGTCGTCTTCTCTTGGTCTTCGGGTGCCACTGGTATTTGAAAGAAACCTGAAAAACCATCAAGACAACAATAATGAGAACGACCAGCTAATCTTTCCAACATTTGGTCAATAATACAATTGGGTCAATAATGGAAGTGGAAGTGGCATCTTTTTCCATTGTGGCTGCGCTTCAACTTCTGTGTCAAATCCTATGCACATCCTCCAGAACCATTTTGAACTGCTTTAGGAACCCAACTCTCCTTTCAGATCCTCCACCTACCAGTCAATCTGTCTTCTATAGGGCACTACCTGCTACAGGGGCTTACCCATGTTGTATCAGAAATCTGGTGTAAAGTTTCATACCAAGCATTATAACAACTTTTAGTATTTTCCTTCTTAACCACCTCCATCATTAGGGTGGAAACTTCCAACCTCACTGTTGTAGCTTCTCTTGTGGGCTTGCTTGCCTCTTCTAGTAAGAATCTTGGGCATACAAGCGTTGAGAATGGATAATACCCCTTTAACTCATCTGCTCTATTGTCATCTATGGCCTCATTCCTCACCTCCTAAGAACCTTGAACCAAGCTCTCTTTCTTTCAACCTCCACTAAGTTTGCTGGAGATGATAAAAAGGCCAATGTGTCACCACTTCCCCAAAAAATACATCATTTAAGTGACCGTAATAACAGATCGGCATGCGGTTTCAACTCAACTCTGAACACGGTGACTAACACAAACATACTGTGGGCTAAATAGGTCTTCTCATGGTGAGAACAGGCAAAATTCACTCCACATCACATCATTGGCTCAGCGGCTGCCTTGTCTTATGGGGATTGACTTTGTCTCCATCTTCAGCACACCCAATTTCCTGTACATTCTTCATTCAACTAAGAAGCGTTTCGCTCAATGTTTTCGCTTGCCCAAAAATAAATGGGAAGATCCCTTTAACGAAAACCCCGAAAGGACCTCGGAAAACATCCTTTTTATTCTTGTTTTGCGAAAAAGGTGAATAACACAAATAATCTTTTTGGATATGCCTGATGCATGAGTAAATCAGTTCTTATTACAATCATTTTTAGTCGCCCACCCATTATTTCGGCAATGGGACCGTTCTCCAATTTTAATTTTATTAAAGTGACATTTCATTAACCCATTTTTCTATTTAAGGCTAATATATTTGAAAAAAAAAACCCCTGGATCAAGCGTAACCAACGTACGATTTAGGTAAGTGAATTTGGGCTACGTCGGCCCCGTGGAAGTCGACCGCCCGGAATAACTGGCGCTCTTTTAACCCTTCAGTTTCTAATTTTTATTGTTAGGAAAAGCCAATCTATTTAATCAAACCCAAACCCAAATTAAAGTCGCACATCTCTAGGCCCTATGCTTGCGAAAACTTCAATTAATCGTCCTCAACTATATCATTTCATTGCACTTCATCATAATTATTAATCACATTCCACAATTAGTATAGCAAGTAAAATTAAAAGACCCGCTCTTGCCTTATTGGATTAAAGGCGGTGCCACAAATTCGGGCTTTAATACCAATATTAAATCCAGATTAATCACAAATCCTAATAAATAATAAATCCAAACTCTCATTAATCTACAATAAATTAAATTGATTTGGTTTGATTAAAACACAACTTTGCCTTATTGATCAATTTTCCTGATTAAAATTAAAAAATCAGTACTCTAATGACATCGGAATTTTAAATAAGATAAACAAAAGTATTCTGAATTTTAGTCTAATCACGTCGCGGCTCACGCAGCACCTTTGTTCTATGAAAGAACAGTCACAGTGAACGGAACGTGATGGATATTGTCTCCTGGAGACTCCGAATATAGAACGCAGTTGCGTCACGCAGCCTGATCTGATGTCACATGACAGAACAAGAATCGCGTGACAAGAACGTAATGGTATTTATCCTAGAGACCCTAGAACAGTTGCGCACTCCTAGCTACATGACGGACTCGATTGCGAACCATCAGGTTCACAATACTGATTATATATGATAAAGCATGAATATAAAGATGAAATAAAAATGCTGAGTACACGAACAGCAAGGTCACCGCAGCTCCGCTTGTCCTCGATAGTCTATTATATCTTATAAGATGAGCCAACGCACGCAGGTATATAGCTGCGGTTTATGGTAATCTCTCAAACTACTCTTTAACGTGTCAAAAGTGATTAACACAACCTCAGAAAAGATCCAACAGGTGGGAAAAATTACGTACCTTTACCAATAACAAAATCAACTAAATGGCTTATGAAAATGAGATTTTTTAAGCAACAAGATTAAGAAATGAAAGATAAAAGTTAGAATAGTACCTAGCCCTCAGATTTGGAGGATTGCATTGCACTTTGAGATTTGCTAGAGACGTTGTTTTCACGATTCCAGAAATTGTTAGTTATCAAATTTATACCCAAACCAAACGTTTTCTTTCTTTTCTTTCTTTTCTTTTTTTCCTCTCTTTATCTTTTTTTTTTTGATTTTTTCTTCATTCAAAACTTAAAATGTGTAGATTAATGCGTTTGATCTTCTGTTAATAGACTGATTTTCTTTTAGATGTCTCAGGATCCAAATAGCTGATTTATCGGCTCCTGTGAAATAGATACCATCGGTACCGGGACTGGAGTATTTATATTTAGTCCGGAAAAATTAACGCTCCCCTATTTACTTATCTTTATTTACTATTCTTTGGCAGCATGTTTGCGATGATTTTAGCAGCGGTAGAAAATATTTAATTAATATTAATTGGGAGAGTTTTATGTATTAAACTGTAGGAATATTTACTAGTTGTGGGTATAATTAAGCAAATAAATGAGGTGAATTATTTTTAGTGGAGTTCAATTTAATTAATTGTGGAGTTAAATAAAGAAGTAGAAGGCAGATTTATTTGAGGCAACTTATTTAGATGCCATTGGCATGAGACTCTAGCCTTTAGGAACTTTAATCTTAGCCACCAAATTTAGCAATGAACATTTGGAAGTCCAAAATTTTGACATTTGGCACCTTCTAAAGTGAACACAAACATTGTTTTCTTTACTTCTTCTTTTCCTTCTTCCACGCCATTCTCTTCTTCCTTTCTTCTTTTCATTTTCTTCATTTTCTTACTCCAATTTACCACCAAACACTACCTAATTTGAAACTCATAGAATAGGACTTTACCATGCTTAAGAAATCCTTAAAGTAAGTAGGAAGTTGAGTTTGGTGATAAAAGCAAAGAGAAGTTGACGTTACATGAAGCAAAGTAAGTTGTGGATTTCTTGTCGTTTTTATGAATTATTAAGTAGGAAATTCATGCGTCTTAGACATGTTCATTAGATGCAGTTAAATTCATGCTCCAGCTATTTCTGTTTGTCAAGTTTTGACTTTTAATGTTCGATTTTTCATGCTCTTGAAGGAGGTTGGAAGAACATCCTCAAAGGGCTTTAAAAGAGAAGCCAAGGAGTTAAGGGCTTTCCAAGCTTATTCAAGCTTGTCTGAATAAGGGTTAGGGTTTTTCTTGGGCCCCCAATTTCTTTAAAAAATCATTTAAAAAAACTTTCCTTGTTTAAGTTGTTTTTACGTATGGTTAGGGTTTGAACCTATATTTTGGGAAACTTTTGTAATGTTTTGGTATACATTTGCTTGATTTCAATAGAGATATGTTCTTGCCGTGGGATTGGAACTTCATTTTCGACCCCTTTGTGCTTCTACCATCTGTTTCTACCTCTTTCATAAAAGTTATGATAGCGTCTATTCTCAGCTTTCATCCAAACAATTATTTTTATGTCTAATTCCAACAATACTTTGTAGCTCAACTTGATGATTTACAATAACCCAAAACTGTTCTTTATCATTGTCTTACCTGTCTATACGGAATGATTGTCATTTTGATCACTTCAATGGAAAATAATGTCATTATATTCTCATAACAGTTATCTTATTTTCTCTATCTTTGCCAACCCATCCTCTTGTGTCCAAATTGAGGATACATAGGATCAACTTATGGCTGAAAACACCCAAACTGACTCGTTGTGTCCGGGCCCACACTGCCAATTACTAAAATTCGCAAGTGCCCATTATCCGGACCACCCGTATTAATGGGGCAAGATTAGCTCTGAGTTCTTCAATAAAATTGTTATTTCCCTGCTGTCTCGAGAATTCTCTCGTTACTGGATTGGGGCCCTTCATTTGGAGTGTTTGGCTGAAGTTAGAATTCAAGAAACATTGGACTTGGCTTCTGCTGAATTTCAGGTCTGTCTGTTGCGTCTGACGCGTTTCTGCAGCTTTTGTTGCTATCTTATACTATTGTCGATCTGGGCTGTGGCCCTTCTTAAACACTTTGTATCATTTTTCTCTAGCTTTTCTAATGAAATCTGCGATTTCATTCAATTCTTGGAGACCCATAACTCAAAATTAATACGTCTTGTTAAAAAAACCATGCACAAGGTTCAAGTTATCGAAAAGACAACTGCTGAAAAAGTTCTTGACTTTATGTACTTTGAACTCTATATTAAGCTATAGCTATATATCGTATAGCGTGTAAAAAACTTATTGAATTGATGAGTATTAAGAAATGAGAGGTTTTGGATTCTAGGAATATATTTGCTATTTGAAAGAATGATTATTGATTTGGCGCTCGTGATTTATGCATGATTGAGACGTCCGTATTGCATGAGATGTATTTTCTTATTGTGAAGCTATGATCATATGCTAGGGTTACTCAACCCTATAAATAGGGTCGCACGCGCTTTATTTTGTGTCTGATGGGGTGGTGCTTTCATAGGCGACGGTGGTGCTTTCACTAGGCCCCGATTGGTGTTGCATGGGGCGGTGGTGCTATTCATAGGCCATGGTGGTGCTTTCACTAGGCCACGAGTTATGTGATGGGCGGTGGCGCTTTTCAATAGTCCATGGTGTGCTTTCATAGGCGACGAAGATTGTGATGGAACGGTGGCGCTAAATTATTATGGCCACAATCAAAATCTATATGTTCATTCTGCCCCTACTCATGAGTACGCTTAAGGCTCTTAACGCAATAAATGAAAATTTTAATTGTTGTTTATAAAAAGATGAAGACTATATTTGTATTTATAAAAGAGTATTTGAATTTTAAATGAATGGCAGGTTTCGTGTTGTATGATAGGTGGGAGGTAGACGGTTAAGATTAGCCTTGGGCTATGGCGGTTGTTAGATGTGTAAATTGTTGGTATTTAGGTTAGCACCCACTGAGTTTCCACCTCCAGCGCGTTGAATTCATTATATACTCACGTGCAGGTTAGGAGCGGAGGGTGTTCTTTCACAAGGACCAGGAGGAGGAGCATCAGAGATAGATATAGTCATTCCACTTGGGTAGGATATTTGTACAATGGTTGATTTTTGGGCATGTATATAAATAATTGTGTTTGTGAAGGTTGGATGTAAAAGTATTATAAATGTATTAAGGAGTTACTATGATTATTTTAAAGGAAATGCAAAAACATCCTCCATTATATTTTTGGTGTAT